GTGTTTATTTTTTTCATGGGACCTAACACAATCCTTAACCTCCTCATGCAAAGTCTTCTTATTTGATAGAATTGTATTCCTTAATTGAATGGACAGGTTTTATTTTGATGCATTGAATGAAGTTGCAAATATTAGCACTGCTTTTTGACTATGTCTTTTTGTTTGGTGCCTCAATATTTTGGATTTAGTTCAAAATTCAATTTTTGGTTGTTATGGCTTTCTCTCAGTTGGGCTACTTCATCATTTGCTTCTTAACCAGAGTGAAGTATCATGATTGCTTGCTGATTTGAGCACTTTTATCAGTAGGAGCCATTCAGTTGATATTAGTGGATTTTGAAAAGGGTCCATTATGCATAACCTAATTCCTACTGTTGACTGCCTATGGAGCAACTGATTGATTTAAATATCTTTATAGACTTTCAAGGTCCTTAATTTTGTTGTCTCTGAACCCTGTTTTGACTAGTATCTGAACATAAGCATCCAATTCTGTCAATAGCCTATTCATTCAGAAGAAAAAAGACAAGAAGGAAAGCTTGTCTCCATAAAAATATTACTAAAAATACATTCTATTTGTTCTCAATCTGTGTGTCTTGAAAACAGTACTTAAAATGTATGGTGCTTTTAACTTTTATTCTTTTCCTGACTGAAATTAAACCAGTTTCTTCCTCTTTTGCAAAGACAAAACATTTCCCGGTTTTTATTGTATCTAAGAATATTAGTAAGAGGAAAAGAACTTGCTTGTTGTTTTTTTCCCCGCTCATAATCTTCTAAGCTTACTTTATTTTACATTTTAAACTACACTGAGATCTACTGTTTTGAAATTCCTAATGTATGTTTTTGTAATGCCTCTTGTTTATTTTTACCGAAGTTAATGTAATGATCACATTTCCTGTGACAGGAATATAAAAGGAAATGGAGTTTATTCCCATTAAAATTTCTGATTATTATTGGGGTTTTTATTGAAATTAGAGGATGACATTTCACATTTTCCTGCAGCATATTTTATTTACTAGCTTAGAATTCTGAAAACAAAGCTCAGCATTGTGCAGGTTTGCTTTTGTCCATTACATTCTATATAGCTCAAATTGCAATATGAACAATCAAACTTACGTAGAACAAAAGGTTAAGTATTTAAATGTAAATTATGAGTACATAGAGAAAAAAAAAATCCTTACGTACAGCTGTTTCAGTATTCCCAGTGTACTTTTAAAAAAGTCATAAATGTCCAGTCATACCACTTCTGAGTCAGCATAGGAAACTACCCCTAGGTCAGTGTTTCAGTGGTCACTTCTGTACACCAGTCCCTTCCCTGGGTGTTGTTCCTCATGAAGATGTTACAGGAGGTTGTGAGCTTACAAAACCTTTGATTAAACCTGTGTGCAGTGATGCTCAGCTTATGGTGGGTATTGGTGTTCTTCAGGAAATAGGAATGAAAGGTGGGTTAAATTTCTGCATGTGATCCTTTCACTGAAGTTCAGTGAGGACTAAATAAACATTAGTTTATTTAATCAGCCACAGGACATTTTGGGGGAAAAAAACCTTCTGCATTACAGAAATTCACAGCCATATGATGTTATAGCCTCTTCTGATACTTAGATTCAATTGTTTTGAAATTGTATGCCATGTACAATTGTGATGATGTTGCGTAAAATATTTAAATGCATGTTTTATTAAGCATTTTGCTGCCTTCTCTTAATTTTGTTTTCTTAAGAATTAATTATTTCTTTGCTATTTATGCATGCTTTAGAGATTATCATCAGTGTTCCAAAATTAATTCTATTTTCTATCCAAATGACGAATGGATTAAGGATCTTAGTTATGAGAAATGATTCTCCAATCATCATTTGGTTATCAACATTTGTAAATAAGGGGGTGCTTTTGTGATAAGGAAGGCACGTTCCAACTGCAATAGCTGCATCATTTTTCAGACTTTTGAAGTGGAGGTTTAGAAGTTTTCTCATAGAAAAGACCTAATTTCTCATAATAGATTGCATTGATGTAGAGCATTTCATTTAAAAGCCTCATTGCTTTTATAAACATCATTATTATTCTTTATCGATGTTACAGTAACATCTAGAATCCCCAGCTGAGATTGCTTCCCTTTGGTGCTAAGCAATGTGCAAAATACAGAGCAAAGCATATTCTACCCAAATGTGCTGATGTCTGAGCTCGCATACATGCCTTGTGCCAAGGAATTGCACCAAAGTGTAGCTCTCTGCACCCAGCCAATGGGACTGCTTGGGAAAAGAGCCACCTGCCCCAGTGGGAGCTGCCTGCCTCCAAGGAGCATGGCGTAGGAGATGGTATAAAATTTCATTGCAGTTGCCATACAGCAAGCTGCTTGGAAATTATGAGGTTGGTACCTTCTCAGGTAATTCTGAGTGAACCATTATAGGCAGGCTGAATTATTCCCATAGAAAATGAGATAGTTAGAAATTGAATATTTGAGTTAATTATTTTCCCAGTTGAATATGTGAAATTAATTGATGTTTCACAGTACCTGAAACTAGATTTATGGTATGACATACAACTATGTTAAGTTCACTGAATAAAGGAGAGGATCTGATCCTATTCCTCTCTCGCCTTTTCAAGCTCCACAAGTCCTTAATATACATTCAGTAAAAGAAAGGAGTATTTTAATAACTAGGTAAGGAAAGTAAATCACTTTGTAAGTGCTTTTTTTTAGAGTTCTCACTTAGTGAGAACTGGGATGCATGTCTTCTCAGTGCCAGTGCGTTCTCATGCTTGCAGTGGCTACTGGCTACTGTCCATCAGTTTGCAGCAGAGGAAAGCACATTCTGTACTTCAAAAGCCTCTAGAGGGTGGCAGTGTAGGCATGCCGAAAGCCTTTTAAGGCTGTTAATCTGTAAGTATGGAGATCAGAGGCAGTTTTTTCTTTTTTTTTTTTTTTTCCAGTTTATGAAAATGTTGGATAATCATGGAAGTAATTATGATTTTTGTATCTCTGAGCAGGGAGAATGGACACGAATAGCCTTCAGCAGGGAAGACTCAAAATAACTAAGTTCTCTTTGTATCTTAACAAGCTCAGCTCTTTGGTCCATGTGAACTGAAAAGCTGGAATTTGTCTCTGTGCTTTTGTTTGTGAGAAAATTAGCCTGCATTAGCGTACTGATAAAATCATCTCTTTGTAACTTCCAGGAGAACAATATAAAAGCCTTTTCTTTCCTGTTTACTGTAAATCACTCTGGAAATAAGCAAGAGGCTATTTTATTCCAGAATGAAAGCTTTTGCCTAGCGAGTTGTAATAGTATAATGATCCCATTCCAGACAAGCTGTTGGTTATGCCAGGATCTGTTGCCAGATGGCTGCAGAGCTGCTCAGCTCTCTATGCTAGAGATGCTTTGTCCGCAGCACAGCTCCCTCTCCAGGCCTTGCTTTGAGATTTCCAGAAGGTTCTCTGAAGGATCCTGCATGAGGGCAATAGGCATTTTCTCTCACAAATTTTGAGAAAGATTTTATTCTTTGGCTCCTGTTGACTGAGAAAAGGTTTCTGCCCCGCTGGTGGGGCCATTAATTCAGTAGGGATGTGTTAGCATGTAGTCACAGCATTTGGAGTCACAGCTGTGTGAAGCACTGTGTTCAGGTCTGTGCTGAAGCAGAAGTCCCAGGCATTTTAGAAAAAGTTTGCCTGTCATTACAGTCTTTAAATAAATGCCATAGAATTTTTAAATTTCAAAACAGTGGAATTTTTCTTTTTAGGCTTTTAGTGTATGCTTGTGTTGATTTATCATATCTGTTTTGCAGTAAATTCGGCAAATTTTTTGCTATTATTTGTATTCTACGGGTCCCACTCATAAAATTTTCTCCCTCTTTTCTATTTATAAGAAAAAAAAATTAGTACAAGTGAAATTAGAAGTGAGAAGTAACTAGTAACTTCAGAAATTTAAGTGTAATTCTGTGCAGCTGATTGGTTTTTAGGATGGGTGTGAATGGGGGAATGCAGTTCCTCGTCCTGAAGGTGGCTTCAGCTGTCCTGCGCCATGCTGAGTGTGTTTGCTTACTCTTAGTTTCTTAGCAGTAGGATAAACTTAGAATACTGCTGAACCGGACTGATAGAAGTGAGGTATTAAAAAGAGAAATCCCAATTCCTCCTTCAAAAGCTTCCCCTGCTGCCTCCTCCCGTGCATGCCAACACCCCAACCATATCCTCTGGGGGTGCTGGCTGCACATTCCTTACTCCTTACTGTGTGTTGTCCGTGGCACAAAGCAGGTGAAAGGCTGAACTGTTAGTTGTGGCACTGCAGAAAGCAGACCAGTCTGAAAGGGTGATGCACCGATACCTTTCTTAAAATGGCTTTAGTGGCACTCTATGCTTTTTGCTCCACATGTTGAACACAGAAAAAGATACAACGGAGGAAAGGAGAGCAGAGGAAAAGGCAGAATTGCAGCACCACAACCTGACTTTAAGCATTTCTCTTCCAACATGTGTTGTTGATATTGTTAACATTGTAAACAAAATACTCTTTTTTTTTTTTTTTTTTTATATTTTTCTGTTAGATGTTTGGATAGTAAGTATTTTATTGTGAAGGTTAAGAATTATTATAAGCAAATATGTCCTTTTCTCCTTACTTAATTTAGACACTTATATAATTATTATGGCCAGCTAGTTGTTGGGTACATCTTGAGAAACATATTTTATAAGGAAAATGCCTGCTATACTTTGGGTATTTTGCCTTGAGGACAACTTTTCCTAGCTTCTTTGCCTTCATACTATGGAGCTCTTCACCATGTGTCTCCTTTGCCTTCATACTATGGAGCTCTTCACCATGTGTAGAGGAACTGTTAGGTGATGGCTTGAACTGGTGATTGAGCACCTGGTGAAGGGGTGAGGCTGGCCCAGGGAGTACAGGCAGATTGTTTGCATCTGTGCTCCCCAGGTGATCAGAAGGGGTATACCCAGGGGGGAGGCACCATGGACTCATATAAAGGCAATCCATGGAGGTAGGACTGTCTCTTGGACTGCTTCCAGAAGAGGAGCGCTGTATAGTTGGAGTGTCCCTTCACTACTTGGGTAAGTTTGTCCCTTCTTTTTGTATATGGCTTAGCCTACCTGCAAGTACTCTATAACTCCTGTTATTGCCAAAAGCCTGTCCGAACCAATTGTGCTTCTTTGTGAGTGGGATGCTATGGTTCTTGAGTTTTTCCAAATGCTCCAGTTTTTTTAATTTTAAGCTTGCAGGAGGAGAAGGAGAGGGAAAAAAAAAAAAAAAAGAAGCTTGCTTGATTTATGAAGAATCTTTCTTTATGTTGTTTAGGGCACATGTCTGAGATGATTACTGAGGATTGTTGTGTCAAAGATGTGTTAATTAAAGAGTAGGAACAGCTTACATCCGTTAGAAATTTTCCATTAATGTAGTTTAATGAACTTGGTAAGCAGATCCTGAAGTATGAAAATAGTTGGCTGAAATCTCTCTGATCGTGGTCTGTGCTGGATCTGAAACTGTTAGTTTTCTGTTAACTTTTTATTTTCAGCATGGTATTAAGGAGTGTTGCCAGGTATGTGTAAGCAGCTCTTGACACAATGAGAACTAAAATAGGTACCTAGAGAAAATGAAAATGTCCATATTTAAGCCTGTTTTACCAGATGGTAGTGACTTTACAATGTGCCTACTGCAGTGTGAAGTCCTAAACCTGGAATGTAAGAGTTGACTTCTCAAACAGCTAGAATGCAAGATATTTCTAATAAAACGTGGGTCTGAGATGGGTGCATATTATCTAAAAGAGACTGCTTTATAGGAATATGGCTAAAGGTGCTTATTTGGACCTACCACAACTCTTGGGCAAGTGATTAAAGTTTGGCAAAGACGCAATCTATGATGTGGCTCTCAGTGTGCTAAAGGGGCTCTGATGCTTCCTTGTGGCTGTCCTGTGTGCTTTTGTAAAGCAGACTGTCTGAGACAGGGAATATCCTATGCTTATCAAACATCAGGCATGATGAGACTTTATATGATAGAACAAATGGATGCTACTCTAATAAATAATAATAAAATCTTGTTTCATCTCCTGGAATCCTTTTCTTGTATATGCTTCTAGAAGATGAGAGCTTGAAAACCATTCATCTCAAGAGATGAGAACACAATGCTAGTCACGTCAAAACAGGCTGAAATCCAGTGTTGCTTTCGTTATCCTGAAGTCAGCAATATGCTATCCTCATTGTTCCTTTGTCTAATGGAATTTACTGAGGCTATTCATCCTCTACACACATTGTGAAAGTGCACTTTGTAAAGCTGAGAAAGCTCTGGAGTTAATAGCGTAATAATTCAGCAAGAAAAACTGATTTGCAAGTGACCCATGTATCAGGCTCAATGGTGCTTAAAGGTAGTTCATAAATTCTTGACAAAGAAAGGTGTCAGCTTTGCGGACCACCCTTTTTTATAAATAAAGTAGCCTTTTAAGAATTGGTCACAGAGCTTAATGCAGGATGTTATTCTGACATGTAATTTACATGCCACCAGAGGAGTGAGGGGAAGCCAAACAACATTGAGATTGAGTGCTAACATGAAAAACACTATGTCTCTTAGGACAAAAAAATTCTGCTTGAACCTAGATTGTGTCAGAAATGCTGTGATACTCCTGCTCTGCCAGTTCCCAGGGGATCTTGAGCAATCGGGTGATTTTCAGGGTTGCTATGCTTTGGCTCGCACCTGGGTATGGAAGGGCTGCAGAAGGGACATTGAGGTGGTGGTTTTTCTCTGTTTGCCAGGACCATGTTAGGTTAGTGGTGCCTAGGAAAAACTTCCTCTGCCTGTTAATACTGTGTTCGAATAAAACATGATTCACAAAACAGGATTTGTTTAGATGGAAATGATCTGTAAATGCTGATGTTGCACTGCAATCTCTGAGCACCTTAGAAAAAAGTAGGTTATGCTGTAGCACTTATCTTCCAAGGTGAGAAATAATGGATTTGATTCTCACCAGTCGATCTGTGGATGGTGAAGGCTGGCACTGTGTTCCTGTCTTCCTCCTTTTGCAGGGTCTGGTAACAGCTGCTGCCCTGACACTTCTCTGGTAGGGGGACTTGTTCTGAGAGCGGCTTGTGTGCTGAGATGTGATGTGGCACTGCTTCCTGTCACAGTGCAGCGTGGCAGAGACCAGCAGCTTGTTTTTATACAAAAATAAATATTGCTAAAAACTTAATCCCTGCCAAGTAAGCAGCATATTAAGGGTGCACATTTTACACTGGAGTATCATACTGAAAACAATTCTTACTGTTTCTATACAACTTAGACACATGAACCTCTCTGCCTCTAAGTGTTATTTGACAAAAACACGTTTCTAAGGGATTTTTTTCCTCCTATGTATACAGTGGACATAGCAGCTCAATTACTGAAGTTATCGACTACTGTAGTAGCCCATTATTCTAGAATGTTCCATCAAGTCAATCAGTATCCCATGTGATTTCAGGCAGAAGTGCGGTGTTTCAGGTTTCTGCAGAGTTTGGTAGATATGGGATGTGTGAATGGAAGCTTTTTTATTAATAATTAAGCAGCTCATTTCTATATAATGAAAACATAAATTGGATATCTGCAGTCAAGCAATCTATTCAAATTACTCAACTGAATTTGTGTGAAGCACTGAACGATTACAAAATACATTTTGTGGAATGCTTTATACTAGGCTTTTTATAGAAATGAGCTAATGATCAATGTATGAATGCATGAATTAAGCCTAAAGGGCATCCCCAAAAAATCTATTGGAGGACCCAGTGAAAGAAATAATAGCTTGTGACACGCAGAAAATGAAATCGCATCAGATGTCAGTTGTGGTCATACAGCAATCCAAGAAATTGATTTTTCTTTGAAAGGGTTTTTATAGTTGCCCTTTAAAAAAAGAGTCTAATTACTGCAGATAATGTCTGTTTAAAGTGATAGAAGGGCTCTATTTTATTTCTGTTAATCATCTTCTCATCTTCTGTAGCACTGGGAAGTTCAAATTCAAAAATGATTCCACAGAATGATCTCTAGCTCACGGTACGGGGCAGTCATCAGACCTGCCCTATGAGTACAATTAAGGAAGTCAGGTAAGCACTGTGCTGCGTTTTTAAAAAATGGCATGAAGGTACTGTGATAAACAGCAAACCTGGTATATTTAATAACATAATAGACAGTGGTTGTGACTGAAGAAGCTGAAATTTGTATTAACCATGTTAGAAATGTTTGATTTTTGTCTTGCTTTGGTTCTTCATGGGGCATGCTAGGAAGAAAAGCCTTTATTCTCACTACTGATCTTTTTTTTTTTTTTTTTTTTTTTTTTTCCCAAGCAATTTCAGAAAAAATTGATTAAAACAGTGGGTATTGACCTTATTTGTATTAATAGAAAGTTAGCTTTATGGATTTTACTCAAGCAAGTTTACTTCAAAGAGTGGAACAACTTTTGTCTTTATAAAGAGCTGAAAAAAAAACTGGAATGTAGATCATAAGTTACAGAATTTCTGACATCTGACGTTTACTTCAGATTAAAAGTATTATCCTTTAGTAGTGCTCATTCAGTGCCTGTGGGGGACATTTTAGAAAAGTCTAAGTATGGTACATGAAGTTATTGCTTAGCAAAATATGCCTGTAGGGGAAAAAATAATGTGATTTCTTTTGTAAACTTTTTTTTTTTTTCCCATACAGATCACACCCTACAGCCATTAGTTTTTCCATTTCCCCGTTGAGTGACCTGCTGGTCTTCACTTGTTTATTCTTTGAAAGAGTTCTACAATGCTGAGGGGAATTGCTAAAATGAGATGAAGTTTATTGATTTAACTTCCTGTTTAGACTAGTAGTCTCCAGAATGATTTGACTGCACACGAGGAAAACAAAGCTTGAGTAAGGAATCCTATGTTGGAGACACGTAGCTCAGAGCCTGTGCAGGGAAGCCTGCTCCCAGTGTCTTCCTACCATGTCCATAAAATCCCACATTTCCTTATCTTTTGAGTAAACTCTGAATCTGTCATGTTCACCTAATAACGAAGGAGACATTTGAGGACCTCATTTCTTATATGTGTGTGAGGAATTATTACTTTATGTTTGATTGGAAAACTAAAATGCATAATTGCACACTTCAAAAATACATCTCTGATTTTATTTTACAGGGGATTCCCCCAAAATAAATATTTCTCAGTTTTGAAGTGTGTGTTTTGAATGTGATGATCTATTGGAAGATCTTTGAGAGTCTTATTAGTCCTTGTATATAAAGTGAAACAATGTGGTCCAGGCCAGATTATCTACTCGTATGGAAATAGATTCTTAGTCCTTATGCTTTTCTAACAAAATAAGAGCACATCTAGTGTGGCAGGGGGAGGTGGTGCTGAGGCTGGCCTTACTGTGTGCCCTCTGTGGCTGGGCAGCTGCCCCAGGAGCCAGGCTTGGCTGCCGCCTTGTTCTTCAGGAGGAGTTTTTGGTGTTTTAAGATTTATCCCAGAATCATAGAATGGTTCGAGTTGGGAGAGACCTTTAAGATCATCCAGTTCCAATCCCCTGCTGTAGGCAGGGGCACCTCCACAAGACCAGGTTGCTCAAAGCCCCATCCAGCCCATCCTTGCTGGGCAATCTGTTCCAATGCCTCACCACCCTCAGAGCAAATAATTTCTTCCTAATTTCTAGTCTAAACCTACTCTCTTCCTGTTCAAAGCCATTTCCCTTGTTCTGAAGATGTTAAATAACACTGATCCCTGAAGAATGCCACTTGTTACTGGTCTCCACTTGGGCACTGAGCCATTGTCATGCTCTGAGAGTTGTGGTTCATCCAGCCAATTCCTTATCCAGAGAGTGCTCCATCCGTCACATCCTTTTTTTTCCCAATTTGGAGAATGTGTTGTTTGAGAGACATTGTTATGCTGCAAAACCCACAAATATGGAATTAATACAGAAACTCCTTTTATTCCTCTAGAAACATTACCAACAGAAATACATATCTGAGGGGCAAAAAAAATGCATTTCTGTAAAAGGAAATTGTGTAAAATGGAGCAGTTTACTGTTTGGCTGCATGAAGCTAGTAGTTCATGAGCTTTGAGTTGATTCATACTGCTGACTCAGAGTAAAATCTCTGAATGAAATGAAATTGCATTTGGCTTGCTTGTAGTACTCTGTAATTTCTTTAAAAATATAATTAAGAATAATTGAATCGAAATGCAGTGACTTGGATGTATGATGGATATTTTGATTCATTAGAAATCCTCAGTGCTTGGTGTGTGGGTGATACTGAGAAACAGGTATGACTGAGACAAAGCCAGCATAACATGACAGTTTTGCTGCTGAAACAGGAGAAAGAGAAATGTTAATGTCAGTTTGCAGTAATATCTTTTTTCAGATTCAGATCTAATAATCTAATGAAGATGTTCTCAGTATTCTGTTTCTTTTCTGAGTTATTGCCTCATTTAGCAACCATTTAGATTTGGAATCTTCTTTTTATATTTAAAAAAAATATATGTATATTCAGAACTACTCCCGTGCCCACTTAAGCCTCACTGTGCTGTTTACAATGTTTGGAGTTCTGTATGGAGGCTCTAAAAGGACATTAGTCTTCATGAAGAGGATTTCCAATGTGTTGGTGCCATTGCAGGCGATCAGTCTGTTTCCTAGGGAGCTTTGTGCATGCTCCAGGCCAAATGCTGGAGCACAAAAGTACAGAGTGGGGAACAACGGAGAGTTGCCATATGCTTGACATCTGCACCTGGCTTTCTGCAGTTTTAGTAGCTGGCTGTAGTAGGTTGCAGCAGAGCTGCCATTATTCACATTGCTCCTCATTGGGTCTGTGAAGTTTTACATTGTGCATTTTCAAAGTGCAACACAGAAAATCATCCATGGTGTTAGCTGCAAACCATTCAGCAGCTGTAATCGTAGTTATGTTGAAAGGCTTCCTTGATGGTGTGGAACATATTGAAATATATAAAAGAGATGAGAGAGAAGGGAAATCATATAATATTGTGAGACTTTTGCATAAAAGTTGGTCATAGCGGTGAAATGAAATTAAAAGTTCAGTCTGCAGCCATTATTTAATTGCCAGCTAAAACCACTAAAGATGATCATTACTGCTTGGCACCGGAAACTATTCTGTTTATTACCTGCTTTGTGCAGTTTTGAAGGATTTTTCTATTTACTCAGCTGGGAACAGTTTTAAAACCTAATGTAATGCAGGGCCTATATGAGAAGAGACATGCACAAGTTCTCCTTAATACTACAGTAAAACGAAATGTGTATGACAAGCCAGTACTGATGGAAGTTGTGCAATGTGTGTTGGAAGATTGCAAATAGGGCATGGATGATGCATGCCCAAGTCCTTGTGCACCAAAGCAGAGGTCACAAAACTAAGATTTTTACATGGGGGTTAATAGGGACATTGCTACAACCCCTCACAAGTATGATTTAAACTGACTTAAAATGTTATAGCTTCTTGTAAAAGCTAAGAATCAGTATCTCAAAGTACTAAAAGTTTCTCTTGTACTTATCTCAAAGATTTATTTTGCTTCTTTATTTACTGAGAATGCTGTTGCTTGAAACAAGAGAAATATTAAGCTGACCACTCTACAGTGTTTTTTTCAATAATATATTGACTAGAAAAATTTGACAGCAAATTCAGAAGTTATGAACTAGAGTTAAAGCAGAAGAAAAAGTTTGTATCAAAAAAAAAAAAAAAAAAAAAAAAAATAAGACTTAGAGTCAAACAGTTGGTATTGTCCATTTGTGATGGTAGTGTGTTGCTGCGAAGGGCAATACAGTTGCCACAGAGTGCCCTGCAGTTCTGCAAGGTTGTTTTACCAGATGAGCAAGCAGTAATGAAAATGGTACCACCATTTTTTTCAAAAAGAAGAGAACGGATGTGTAGTGTGTGATATTCTGCCAAGAATATCACAGGAAGGACTGCAGTGGATTGAGGCACATAAACCTCCGTGGTGCAATGCAGTCAGATAAGTGGGAGCACCATGTGTGTTGACTTTGTGTAGTCACTGAGTGACTCAGAGAAGAGATCCCTCAGCAAAGACTTGAGGAAATCGTGAAGAAGTTCAGCGTAGCCAAGTGTCAAGATAAGGGAGGGTGTCAGAAGTAAGGCAGTGTTCTTCAAAAATATCAAAGTACTGGAAAAGGAAAAAAGAAAACAACAAAACAGAATAGATGATACACTAACCTAACATAGGCCTTGCCTAGGTAGGTGAGTGCTTTCCTATGAGGAGAAGCAGAGGAAGCTGGGCTTGTTTAGCATGGGGAAGAGAAGGCTCTGAGGAAACCTTTTTGCGGCCTTCCAGTAATTATAAACAGAAAAAAAAAAAGACCTTCTAATGTGATCTGATACTGATAGAACAAGGAGAAATGGTTTTAAACTAAAAGAAGGGAGATTTAGAAGAAATGCTAGGAGGAAATTCTTTACTCAGAGAGTGGTGAGGCACTGGCACAGGTTGCCCAAAGAAGCTGTAGATGCCCCATCCCTGTAGGCATTCAAGGCCAAGCTGAATGAAGCTGTGGGAAGCCTGATCTGATGGGTGGCAACCCTGCTCATGGCAGAAACTTGGATCTAAATGGACTTTAAGGTCCCTTCCAACCCAAGCCACCCTATGACTTACAGTCCTCCCTTCCAGTGTGAAGCTTTATATTTTTTCCAGTTATAAAATATAGAAGTATAGTGTAGCAGACAAAAGGAAAAGGGATAAGTTGAAAATTGCAGAAAATAATTAAGGTGTATGGATTTTTACTGCCTAAGGCAGGTAAATATTTTTAATTTTTTGGTTTCTCTTACTTATGTATCCAGAGGAGATGTAGAAGATATCTGTACTGAAAGTTTTATTTCATGGGATCAGGTCTGCTAATAGTCCACAAACCTGTACCTGTTCAGATGGTGTATATACGCACAAAACCAGAAGGATGGTAAAGGAGTAATAGCCTGATCAGTATCTCGTCTGGGGCAGCGTTTGACAGTGTTACAGGCTGAGGGGAGGTTGAGAAATACAAGAAGTGGGAAGTGGCAGAATAACAGTGATAGAGTGATTGGGTGAGTGAAAAATTTCTGTAGATATCCACAGCCCGTTTCTTACCTTGTTGGAAATGATCAGCAGAAGGCATACTGCATCTGTATGCTTGGAGCACTTGCTAAATCTGCTCATCTTTAGAAAAGAATGAAAGGTGAAGTCAATTTGCCTTGGATTCTGAGAGCTGCTCCTTTGTTTCCTTATGCCACTGCAGTTGAGAGCAGCAGGGTGCCGGATGGCAGTATGGGGTCGTGGGAGTGGCAGCCTGGGGCAGTTGTGCGTGTTCTTTTCAAAATAAACAGTTTTAGGAATTATAATTAGTTAGAGGGTTCTGAAGATATGTTAAATTTGATTTCCACAAGCAAAGGCTCATCTGTTTTCCCAGGAGTACCTCTGATTACATTCCATGATATTCTTGCAAAATCAGTCTTGTTTTGAAATCCATACAGGGGAGAGTGGCAGGTTTTCTTTCTGGAGCATGAGCATCTGTGTGTCTGATTTTGCTTCTTGCCACCTCAGTGGCAAGATTCAATACAGTACCAGTAAGGCTAAATAAAGTCTTGAGCTGTAGTTTCCAGTACCTACTAAAGCTGCAGTGGAGTTAAGGAATTAAAAAATGCTAGTTTCCCTATCTTGACGTGAAGCTTGTTTTTCTTGCATAATAACCCTCCAAGCCTGCCTTCCCCTCATTTAAAATAAGCAATGAACCTTTCCGTGCTTTAGGGTACACTGAGTATCTTTCATGGTGTTCGAGTGCAGAACATGGCTGCTGCTGGGGTGTGTGGAACCTGTCAGTTTGGGGTTCCACTGTGGAGAGGGAACAGAAGTCGTCTGTTAGTCATGCTTTGTTCTTGAACCAAAGCTTGGTTTCAGGACATAGGAGGGATAGCTGTGTATACAAAATTGTTGCAACTGAGTTCCCCCTACTGTAAGGCTTCTTAAGCTATCTTTAAATCTGTAACAAGTTTTAGAATGTCCAGTACCCAGGTATAATGCTGCTGCACCAGTCCCTGTCTCTCTGTTCTGTTTGAAAGCTGTATACCTTTGTTACTCTGACCCTGCTGGTCCTCATTGTCAGGAGGAGTTTCTGCTGCTTCCCTCTGTGGTGATAGCCATGGCCATAAGACTGTGATCACAATGAGGCTGCTGAAGCTCTGAGGCCCTGTTGAACTTCTGGTTGTTTCTCTTTGCTGCCTTGTGCCTTCTGAGATTCCTAAAGCTAGGACTGTGTTTTAAAGGAAGCGTCAGGCTGCTTGCACAGCATCCACTGCTACAGTGAAAATGTGCTAATGAGAATGCTGTTGTAATGGTATTAGTATGGCCTAAGTCCAGCAACTTCCAATTGCCTGGAAGTGTACCTGGTAACTGACAGTGCTTTCCTAGGTGTGTGTTTTTTTTTTTTTTAAACCATATTTAGTCAAATGTGACTTGTTAAATGGGATAATTAGGTAAATGAGTAACAGGGTAAATGCTTAAATGAGATTGAAATGGGTAATACACTGTCCTAAAGAATAAATTTGAAAAGACTTCAGGAAAGGAAAAATGGCCTTCCAGCCAGCATGAAAGACTGCATCAGGCAACATGACTTACAGTAAGCACAGACATCAGGTCAGCCTGTGAGCTCAAAAGGTCTACTAGCAAATAGTGACAGCACGTGGAACTGAAATGTACTTACACTGGGAAATTTTCTGGATCAGGAGCATTTGTTTTTTGCCATGTATGTCTTTGTAGAAGAAAGGCATCTGCCACTGGACAGACTGTAACTGTTTTTCTGACCGTGAAAATGCCATCTGGAAGGCATGAAATGGTGGTCTTTGCCAAGTTATTATTAGAGTAACTGTGTTAAAGCCAAGCATTATTTCTTGCCTTTTGGTAGTGTTTGCATTGAACTGGCCTTTTTCCCCTGAAAAAACCTTGTTAAACTTCTGTCAAGAGTTCAGAAAATGCCAGTAGCATTAGCTTGGCTACTTGGTTGAAGGGATATTGGAGGTAGAAAAATACGTATTGCAAAGAGAATCTGAGGTTGTGGAGTGAGAAGATGGGAAGAGTGGATTTGGTTTTCTATCAGTAAGCCCAGCAAGTTTCTAGGCTTAGGTTGACCATAGAATCCTCTCTGGAAGGATTAAATGGGGTTGGTTGACCATTTTAGGGGCTTGAAGAAAGCTTCAGAGCTGACTCTCTTATTTTTCTAGGTGTGGAGAAGTTGTCAGTGATAAATCACATGTAACAATGTAATTTAAACCTGGCCAAAGAGAACATACAAGGAAGTAAGATACTTTCAGAGCAGCTAAGACTAATTATCGCTTTCACTAGTTTATTAAGATCTTTACTAGGTTATCATTCTGAAGTTCAAAAAAAATTATATAGCCTAGTATTTAAAGATGTGATATTTCCTCAAAGATGTATTTCTGTAAGGAAAAATACACAGCACATTCAAGTGTGTGAGGCGAAGTGTTATGAAGGTTATTGGATATGTAGCTTTAATAGGAAAGAAAAAATGAATGCAAGGAATTATGATGCATTTTAGCACACATCTGTGAGTAGAGAATGTGTTCACAGGAGTCTTTAGGTGTCTTCCTCCCTTTCTGAGATGTATGCAAAGATTTAAAAGTATATTCTGTAGCTTCAGTGCCCCGTGCTTAGCAAGGCAGTTATGTGTCAGTATTAATTTTTGTGTGGGTTAAATGCAAAATGAAGGAGTCCATGGTGGATACCAAAACCAGCTGATATCTATAGAGCTAACCTGAGCCTAGGGAAGTGAGTCAGGAAGGTAGCCCTCACTGCCACCTGAGAGTGTTGCTTCCTCCAGAGAAGAATGTGATCCCACTAAATGGCAATTGAGAAAACTGTGTAGTTCCTTAGGTTCTGTAGGTGCAGTTAAATTGCTGCCCTGTTAGTGGTGGACTGCAGCCAGGCTTTCACTGCCACAGTGGGCACAAAGTCATCTGCTTATCTCCCTGAGTTCTGCAATTCTGCACACATTCTAAGAATATTAAGGCTACTCTGTATTGGCAACTCCTAAATTGATGAACCCTAATATTAGGAATGGACATCTTGCTGGTATTTACACTGTTAAGTTGACCTGTTTGTCTGTTCTGAATATTAAATGCTGTTGGCTCTGAAGTCTGAATTTATGTGGCAAGATCTTAATTTTATCACTACTTCAACAAACCTGTATTTTCAAGACCAGATTCAGAATAACTGTCAGTAGGAAATTATCATTTCACTGGGTGCTTGTGTAGATTTGAATAACCATTTTCTTCTGTAGCTGATGGTTAGAGCAGTCCCTCCTTGCTTTTGATGATACCATCTTGCTCTCTTGAAAAAGTACAAGATCTGCATTAGCTTTCCTAAATTGTCGTAGAGTTTGAGCTCTTTCCTGAGGGTTTAACAGGTGATTTTATTTTTTTTGTCTATAAGAGACTCTGAATGGGAGTAATTCTTTTAGAAGATGACAGATGAAATAACTTGCTTGTAAGATGTAAGTAGGCATATCTGAATCAATGTAGAAAGACAAATGTGTTCATTAGCTGCTAATATTTTGATGAAACCTGAAATCTAAATGTACCGTGGACCTGAGCAAGCAGGGAATTTCTTACCATCTTAAACAGTTCAATAGATATTTAGTCCTAGGCAAAATATTTTTACAGTGAATGGCACCGATGAGAGACTTCAGTCCCAGAAGTAATCAATATTCTTACAGTTTTTTTTTTTTATTGGACAGTGCAGCAGTCTGTGGCTGTTGGTGATGGCTTTAATAACTGCACGATTAGCTTGTGACTGCCTGTTTTCTGCCCATCAGGTAAGTTGCATTCAACCTTGGGAAAGCTTCAGTTTTCCCTCATGTAATCCGCATTCTTTATTGCAACTGGTTCAATAACACAGATATATAACATGTCAAAATAGGAAGTTCAAGCAGCAAAAAGGGAGAGGAAGAGACTGATTTCTTCTAATGATAAGATGATTGTAATTTTATATTGCATCAAGATAATTTCCTTGTTCTTCTTTCAAGTAGCACATAGGGTTTTTTTGAAAGTAATAAAAGATGATTCATATACTTGATAAAAATCTGTTAAGGTGCGGGAAAAACTATACTAATTTGAGATAGTGTCTAAATTATAGAAGTTCATATAGCTTGGTTAATAGTTATTTTCTGTACTGTATCCAAATATTCAAATCCATTTTTTTCTAAAATATAATACGGTAATACACAAAAGTGAGGCATAGTAGTGAAGCTTTCATGACATCCTGTTTCACAACAGATCTTGCTGTGTTTCATGTCTGTCTTGGAACAAAGCAGTTCCATTCCAGTTCCTCCAGTGTCTGTTCTGTGGTTTTCTAGGAACCCTGTATTTACCTACCCCCTTGTCTTTAGGTCATTCATAATTTCTTGGTGCAGTATTGCAGCAAAGAAACTTCAAGTGAAAGAAAACTACAGTACAGACTGACCCTGTTCTCAGTACTATCTAGGCTAGCTTTACTTTTTGAAAAAAAGTATGTCTGTGTTTTTCATTAACTTCCAGGCCTGTTTGATCATGTGCGCAACTAATTTGTGTTATTAGCTTTTTTGATTATTTTTGTATTTACTACTTAGGAAAATGAGTTCAGAGCTGCTTATGCTGCACACCTGTAACATTAGGCTCAGTATCTGGGAAATGTGCTGAAAAAATATTAGTGAAAAGTTCGCATTAGATTCTTTGGATCAGACCTTTAGGGTTCGGTTTAAATTCACAAATCCTGATGCAGTAACAAATAAGTTTTTGTTGTTGCTCCAAAAAGTAAAGGCTAAGTGTACTCTTAAAAGCCATTAAATATTTTCTTAAACTTTTCGCTGATTGATGACCTATAAGGCAAATTGATCTGTGATGCTCTGTTGCTGTTTGTCTTGTTAACACTGATTCAGGAAGTATTTCAAGTTAGAAGAAGGTGCACTTTGGAGCTATAAAATAGCTCCAAAATTTGAATTAAAAAATCTGAAACATGAGGCAGAATAATTTTGTGTTCTTCTGTTCAGTCTATGTAATAAATTTAAAAAACAAAAAAATCAAAAATAATGTACAAACCCTTGTAATTTGATTACCTAATAATCAAAAGTTTTTGCATGATCTTAGTGAGGGTAGAAGAAAACTAAGATAAGGACCAAAGCTTGTCTATGTGAACACAAAGCTGTCAACGCAAGAGACTCCATTGTTATCATTGCTGCTGAGAGCCAGAATCTCTGAAGTCTTAGTCAGCCTTCAGCAAGAAAATGCAGTCCTAACCCTGTAGCGGATGCTTCAGATAATGATAAAACTGTGAACATTGATAATGGATTCAAAAGACTGAAATTACAGTCAAATATGTTAAATATTTAAATGCTTTGCCTCTAAAGATGCAGTGTCAGACCTCTGGTCTGGCTGTTTGAAATGGAATAGAAATCTGGAGTTATAGTTTGTCTGTAGTTGCCATGAAGTGTTTGTGTTGTCTTCAATTTCTGCCCTTTAAATTTGCTTGATTTTAGTTTTCATGCTGCTTTTGAACACAAATGAGTATGTTGTTTTTTTTTTTTTTAGTAACATTTAACTCCGTAAATTTATTATGCATAGTTATTGCAGCCCGTAAGTCTGTGGCTGCTTTCAGCAATTTCCTGATTTTTATTTAAACTATAAATTTCTACAAATCAATGCTGAATTTTTAACAAAAATAGTGTATTTTTCATTTTGTAACATTTTCACTCAGTCATAAATTTTAGGAAAAGTAGATTTAAATATTAAAGAAGAAAATTAAACTTATATCATATTTTCGTAATTAAAAATATTGCAAATATTGAAGGACTTTAGATCAATCTCAAGTTATTTTAAAATCCTGTCATTTGCCTTACGCTTTACTTTGCAATGACACCTGTTAGATGTGGCTGTCTATTTACTTTCTCTTTCATACAAGCAGTAACAGTGAGACATTAGTTGTGCTCTTGTCAGATAAAAAGGCAAGATTCTATTATTTCCAGCACCCCAAAAAATCCCCACTTAGAGCCTGTTTTTCCACCAGATAAGGTATGAAAGTTACTTGAAGATCATCCAGTTACAGAAGCAGTCATTCATGTGTGAAACTGCCTTGCTAAGGTCACATTTCTGAGGGAAATGTCACAAAGTAAAATGAGCATCTCTAGATATGTGAGAAGAACCTTGTGATTCAGTAGCATTATCTTGTGTAAGGAGATGTAAGGAGAGATTTTACTTTTTGGAATTCTTTGTTCTCTTGGTTGTTTGGTTTGTTTTTTTTTTTTTCCACCTGAAATTGATTTTCAGTGAGTGAAAAAACAACTGTCTATACTGTTTTTTAGAGTATACTTCATGTATAGTTGAGCAAAGGCTAATAGGAGTCCGTGTGTGTGTGTGTAGTATTTGAAGAAAGTAATGGATACCAAAAAAAAAAAAAATACAAGTAACTTGTCTATTCACTTATTTTTTCTTAACCATGTGCAGTGTGGTGTTAAGTGAATCTAACTGATGAGAAATAGAAACTGCATTCTATGTGACATTAATTCAGGATATGAGTAAACATGAGAAAAGGTATATGTCTTGCTGAAGTCTAAACATGCCAACAGCATAAAATACAGATTCTGCTATGCTGTATGCTATATTAGGGCTTTTCTTTGTCAGCTTTTGGTAAAGTTCAGCATAGAAATACACAATTGCAGTGAACTTGTGGATCTTAGAAAATCAGCCGTGGGTTGAGTTTGCTTTTGGAGGAGAAATCCGTGAGCTAAGCAGAAACCCATAGTGTAAGTGAGAAGCAATTCTGAATCCAATGCAGCTCAATGCATCGCTTTTCTGAACCTTGGGGATCGGTCAGACAAAACTGTAGTTACTTGTTTTTAAGATGTTTGAACATCTTAGAATACATGAATTTCCATGCTAAAGAGTTTTATCAAAGATTTGTGACAACTCTGTTCTCTAGAATGACGTATACCATCTTAGTTCTGTTTTGTGATCTCTTGGTGATGAATGAGACATTTCATGAATATCTTAAAATCTCAAGGCACTCATGGGTGCCAAACTCTGATAAAATCAATGTGAAAGACATTAGATAGCTCTGACGGATTACAGTTGGGTGTTTGATCTTTTTCACTAATTGAAATTTTTGTCATGCAAGGTCCTTACCAAATAAAGGTATCTTTATGGGGTGTCTGTTATGCTTAGCTGCGATCATGTTCTCTTTAGGTATTGATGAGTAACTTATTAGCCCTAAATAAATATACTATAGCATCTGAGTCCAGAAATGGCAGAAAAGAAACTGCAAAGCTTAGCACAAAACATAGTTACTGTGGACACAAAATTGAAGAAAAATAAAGATGTGTTCCAGGGTAAACAGGTGACTTTTGATATTCAATGTAGAACCACAAAGTAATTAAATGGAGAAAGGAGAGAGAGAGAAGAAAAAAAAAAAAAAAAAAAAAGGCTTTGTACACCAAACTTAGAATGTTAGATCTTTTTTTTACCATACTGAAAGGAGAACATATTCATGGCTTTCTTTGATATCTAAGTTATTTCTGATTTTTAGTCAGTGAAGTATGTGGCTGCACGTGTTTCTCCAGCATATTTAAATTAATCGAAGCCAGTTGGATGTGCTTAGAGTTATGTACATGCTCTATTGACTTTCTGAGACAGCTTCAAATATTCCAAAAATGATCATGCAATTACATTTGGTTAGATATACGTGTTGATTTGAAAGCCTTTTGTTTTTTTTTCCAGATATTCTTGTGAGTAACATATCTTAAAAGAGACACATGCACAAAAAGAAAAAAAAAAAAAAACTTAAAACTTGATAAATATTCAGCAAAAAATAGCTAACTGTGTTTATTTTTTTTAGTTACAGTAATGTTTTACAGCTTCTTGCTTGTACTTCCACAGCCTGGTTTATTACTATGGTAACAAGTATCTGCAATAGCTACTGTACATGACAGGAATAAAAAAAACTTTGAGGAAAAATCCCACTTAGCTTATATATATTAGATCAACTTGAATGGGCTAGATGAAGATGACACCTTAGTGCTATTGTTATATATCTGTTTTCTGTACATAAAGTGGTTGTTTTCTGCAAATGTCTGAAGGATTAATTTTTGCATGGAATAAGAAAGGTACTATGTCCAGAGACTTCTACGTACCTTCTGAGAAATGAAATTCCTTATTCATGTTTTTCCCTTAATTATCCATCTTTGTCATTTTTCTTTCTGAATAGCTATGCCAGATTTCTACTCTCCAGTGCCCTTCTGCAAAGCTTTTTGTCTGATGCTTGATATAACAGATAAAATGCAAAGTTTGTTATTTATGGTATTGGATAGTGAAAATTATTCTGCAGTAGGTAAAATTCCACAGCATCCATGTGGTAAGCTTCAGAGTGAGGATTGTGATCAGTATGAATATTCAGCTTGGTTACACCCTCTTTCTTTGACAAGATCAATTAGGGAGTTCAGACACTGCCACTCCAGGGTATGACAGCTCAGTCATGAGCAGTGGCAAGCTGTTTCTCAGCTGGCTTTCCCTTCTCCTTAGGACTCTGCCTTATCCCCAAGATACAACTCATCTGGAGTCCTGGTGTGTGCCAGCACCAGCTCTCCCACGGCTTCAGCTGGGAGCCTGCCTGTAGTATCATGTAGCTGTATAGTATGTGAACGTAGTTTTTTGTTGGGTTATTTAAATGTGTGCTTTATGGCTCCTCAGAGTCACTTGAGAGCACTCTCAAATCTGAAAACAGATGGGAGCCACCAAAGGAGAGGTTTAGATTCTAAGTCTCAAGTTGAAAATATGAGGAAGTAAAAGA